GGGGCGAGGTGGAGCGGGGCGGGGCGGGCCGGCGCCGGCCGCGGACGCACCGAAATTCCAATCGCCTCGCGCGCCGTCCGCGAATCATCCGAGGGCCCTCGATCGCCGGCTGCACCGTCCCGCGCCTCCCCCCCCTCCTCCTCCTCCTCCGCGAATGAAAGGCGCCTGCAAAGCGCCTTAGCGCAGCGCAAAAGAAACTCATCGCAAGAAAAACAGCGCTGCGGCATCGCATGTAAGAGATGGCGGGGCGACGGAGATGGAGACGTCGTAGAAGCGCCGCTCGGTCGCGGCCTTGGGCGGGCGGTTTTGTGGAGACCGGTGGCTTCAGGCCAGTGGCGTAACGAAATGAGCGCGGGCCCGCCCACTAAACTTTTATCCGGGCCCGCTTTATAAACGTGTATAGCAAACAGAAGTGGTGTTAGTATAATAAAAATATCCTTTAACAAATTCATATTCTTCAGTTTATGATTACTATATTGACAAACGCAAAACCCTATGCTCGCCATGCTTAAAGGCGCAAAACATTCAGCTTAAATATAGGCCCTCTTTTACCCGAGCCCGCCTGCATTGCGTGCTTCAGGTTTCTTCAGCCATTGTTCTAGCTTACAAACCCTGGAGTACCACTTCCGCCGATAAGATACTCGATGCAGCAGAGCAACGAAAACACGCGTAAAACGGAGTTCTTTTTCTGCAAATCGTTTGATTTGTGTATTTGTATTAATTTGAAAATTACTTGAACAATGAAATTGAACATTGCAATAAAAGCTGACTGAGATTACTAAATGATGTTTCATTCAGTTGGTTAAACAAACCAACAAGGACACTGTACATTATCGTATAGCGCGAATGTCAAATCAGCTCAAAATATGTAGTTTCATGCCTACAGCATCAGTATTTCAGTGGAATTGAATTTGGAATAATATTTTGACATTTCAAATGTAACGTTCCAACTCGATCGTTACAATTAATACGAATTCTTTTTGCCATCATTACCACAAGCAACTAAACACCGGACACATGAATATTTATTGAATGTTTTGTCAATTTGGAAAGGTAGAAATACATGTTACACATGTGAAAATTAGTCACGAAAACAAGTAGTAGTCTAAACATTTATTCAATACATAATTGATGACAATACTTTGAGTCCGTCAATTAAAGTAACACACCCTGGACGTGCAGACTGCTAGAGCACGCCTTGCGTTGCGACGCCAGTACGAATTACTATCCCCCGCGGCATACCACACGCGCCTCCATAAATGATACATCGGCAGGAATCCATTCCGAAACAATAATTCGTGTGGGCGCAAATTATGAAAGCAAAACGGGAAAAAAAAGGCAGGCGCGCAGGGAATCGTTTATTTGACCCCACAATTCGCATTCAATTTATTCCAATCGGTAGTCACATTTTTCAATATATATTTTTATATGCGCGAAACTGAAAGTACGGCGGCGGCGGCGGCGGCAGCGGCGGCGGCGGCGCGCGCAAATATTGATAAACCGCGCGGGGGGGGGGGAGGCGTGGACCGCGCATCTGCTGCAATTACGGCAAAAACTCGCCGCCAAAAGCTGGATAATCTCCATCAATTTTCATCATGGCCGTTGTTCCGCTCATGCTGTTATCACGGACTCTCATTACATATAATGAATAATCAACTGCGAAGGATCCCCACGGCCCCCGCTCATCACACGTTCCGCGCCGCGCCGCGCCCGCCCAACCGATTGAAGGTTTAATTTACGGGAGGAGCGGACCACAGGAATACATAGTAAATAGAAGCGGACTGCTCGATATTTTAATGAAGTGCGCGAGTGGAGGAGGAGGAGGGGGGGGGGG